AGGTATAAAGCAATAAATGTTTTATGTCCCATGTTTCAATCAATTTAATTATGTAATTTTGGCGATTCTGTCTCCCACGAAATACATTTTGTTAAATATTACTCACAATTTATTACAACTGAAAAAGTTATATTCTAATTCTAAAAATGAAATCGATGGTTTTCTAATCCTTATTTTTTTAAACAATATAGGTCATGACTAAGGTCTCCTTAAATGTGTACAAATGGCGAAAATTCGATTGGAAAAGGTAGCTTAATACATAGTAAACAAAACCCCATAATCATACTAACATACAAAACAAAATTGAAAACTACAAAAAGGGGCGAAAGATACCAAAGGAACAGTCAAACTCATAGATCGAAAATAAACTGACAACGCCATGGCTAAAAAAATAAAAAGATAAACAGACAAATAACAGTACACAAGACACAACATAGAAAACTAAAGACTAAGCAACACGAACCCTACCAAAAATTAGGGTGATCTTAGGTGCTCTGGAAGGGTAAGCAGAATCTGCTCCATATGTGGCACCCGTCGTGTTGCTTATGTTACTACAAATCCGGTAAATAATCTAATTCGGTAGGTCATATACGTGAAAAGGGAAGGGGATTGTAGTTACGACATAAGGAACATATCCGATATCATCTGTGAAACGGTTATTCCATAACGGTCAACCAACTCGTTATGGCGTCCGTAAAATTTACGAAGGGATGATTTCAACTTCACCATTTGGAACTCTTGGTTTAAAAGCTTCCCTGTGAGCAGCAACCCTCTATCAAGGAAATCATGATAGGAAATACAAGCCCGGGAATATCGTATCAATTGGGAGATATATACTCCGTATGCAGGCGCTGCTGGAATGTTGCTACATAGAAATGGAAAGTTCACAATTGGGAAGCTGATATCATCTATTTTGTCGTAAAGTTTTGTTTTCAACCGACCCTCATTGTCAATTTCTAGATGTAAGTCAAGATATGAGGCAGACTAAACTGTATCTGTAGTATCCTTTATCTCTAGTTCAATGGGATAGATTCGTTCAACATAGTCACCAAATTTTGAATTATTTAGTGGGAGAACATCATCTATATAGCGGAACGTAAAGTTAAAGGATATTGCTAACTTCTTATCTTTCTTCCTAATATGTTCCTGTATGAAATTCAGCCTCATAAAAATAAAGAAACAAGTCGGCAAGAGAAGGGCACAATTAATTCTCATTGGAATTCCGACAGTCTGTTGAAAAACACGTCCTCCAAACGTTACAAATATGTTGTCAATCAAGAATTCAAGCATCTTGATAATGTCAGTTTCAGGGAATTTTTTGTTTGAATCAAAGTGATTCTTTACAAAGTAGGATTTATTTCTGCCTAAGACAAGATACTTGTATCTACGTTTGACATTCTTTTTTATGAAACAAAGCAATACCAACTCTTTCAATTTGTCTTTTAGTTTGAAATGGGGAATACTTGTGTAAAGTGTAGAAAAGTCAAATGTTTTAATACTATTGCAAGATGAAAGAGTCTTAGATTGTATGTCAAACTGTTCATGCTTTTCATACATGTATATTAATTAAATCAGAATCTGCATGAATGTGTACAGTAACTAATAAATGACCTTCAAACTGGACCCTGGACGAGTCCATGTTATGTTTTATCAATGAAACGAAATGTATGAAAGTTAAGAATTGCCACTTCTTATGTTTTTACAAAATTTTCCGAATGCACAGCAGATAAATTATTCTTTAATAGCCTTTTGAGGAGAAAAAAGAGAAAACTTACAAATAAGACGTGTTATTCTATTGAACAAGTCATTTTTAGAAGATAAATGCCGAAATACATTTTACGCCCGGCTATGTCAGGTAAAATTATTGTTTATCTTAAATAAAAAAAAATAAGTCTCATTGAAATATATTAATTACAATTAATCCCAAACTAAAGTAGTCAGTAAAAAAGTAAAAATATGTCCGATCTGCCTATTTTTGGTCAAGAAAAGTCTTTACGATAGTTTAAAGGTCAATTTTGCCAACCTCACAAAATCTTGTACGGCACTATAAGGTCATCTATTCCTCGGAAAGAAAATCCTTGGTATTTCGAACAATTCAAAGTTTTGTAAATAGTTAATTAATAAATATGACTATATCAAGGATAATTCATGTCAATACAGATATGCTGGCTACTGGGCTGGTGATATCCTCAGGGAGAAAACCTACAGCAACAGTGGCATTGACCCAGTGGTTTTAAAGACTCATCAAAGTTATGAGGCTTATAATTTTGTATTATATTAAAATTATGATACATTTGACAGACACAAGTCTTATTGCCCCCTGGATGACAATTTTTACTTATTTTTTAGAATATTCCTATTACCAATAAATCAATAAAAGATGTATGTTTGAAAGGTGACCAATTCAGACTCGAATGAGCCTCTTTTTATTACCTATCCTTGCCAAATGCCAATTGCAAGTACGGTGTCTCTAGTTCAGTACATTGATATAATGTGCAATTTGTCTTTATGGAACTTTTACATGTTTCTAAATATCCACCTCCAGGTTGTACAGCAAGCCAAAAAGGCGATGACAGTAAGTTTGAAACAGCATTTTAGATAAATATAGACTTATATTATTCAGTGTGATCCGATATGGAAAATGTTTTACAATAAATGAAAAAAGAATTTGAGATAAGGTCAATGAAACAACAAACGATCGACACAAATAACAAAAAAAAAACCACCTGGAGAACATATTAATGTCACAAACAACAACCAGGTGTCTTTACAATATATCAAGCTCTGAATTGTCCCGCGTCTAACAAAGTTGTGAATGCTAGTGTAGAACATGAAAAATAACGGGAAGCACAACATATCACATCAACCAGTTACACCCGACTCCTCAAAAGTGATTTGACGAACGAAAACAGACATTAACAATGAAACATATGATCCAGATAACATGACTTTGTACAAGCACACACATGTGGGATGATCAATTAATTGAAAACTATCAATGATCTACAATGCCACCAAAACCTCGAAAAAGAAAATAACAACATAAAGATTTGACATTACAAGACCACTAACGACGTTCATTGATTAGTATATATATGGACCAATGGTCGCGATTTATAATAAAAATCTATATTAAATCTCCAGCTGAAATGGATTAGTTATGAAAAATTATAACGGACAAGACAGCTAGTTTATCAAATGTAAAGGCATAACATTTATGACATAAATCACATCAAAATATATAGAAAACTGGGACTGTAAAACATGAAAGAGAGATAGAACGTTTTTAGATACATGTTAATAAATGTGTTTGTAGCCTTAGATTCTGAGTACGTAGGAAATTTCTATTTCTTACTTAAATTCTTCAATAGCAACGAATATGTTACCACACTTTCATGATTAAATCTGAATTAAATTAAAATTACACACAGCTTTGAATAGTAGAGTACTGTGTATTAAATAAATATCCATATACAAATGACAGTTGAGCTCAGCGGAGCGAGTTGGAAAATAATGATGTCTTTCCTGCAAAAACATTTCTTTTATTGTAAGTAGAAGCATTTGGTGTGGGTCGCCTGACTCCAATTCTCCAGGTCATAACGGAATATTATTCATATCAAGACATATTAAAAATTTCACACTTGACTCCTAAATGTCATCTTACACCATTAAAACATTTGCTCATTCGCGAGTTGTACGATTAATCACACAAGGAAGCTTAATCAATATCATCAGTCCTTTTATTATATGGAAAGGGGGTATAATATTAACAAAGACATCACATCATTATTCCCTATTATTCTTTGTGTCCAACAAACAATCAGAAGTTGGTCATGACACACATGAGTTAAACATTGAAATGAAGTTTAAAGCCAAATATTATGACAAAAGACATGAAAAAAAAAGTAAAATAGCAAACATACCGAAATCCAAGGAAAAATCGGGCAGTCCCTTATCAAATGGCAAAATGTAAAGCTCAAACACATCAAACGAATGGAAAACAAATGTCATATACCTGACTTGGTACAGGCATTTTCATGTAGAAAATGGTAGATTAAACCTGGTTTTAAAGCTAGCTGAAACTCTCACTTGTATGACAGTCGCATACAATTCCATTATATTGACAGCAATGTGTGAAAAAAAAACCCAGACATAATTAATAGGTAAACATGTTTACAATAGGGATACAGCAGTCAACATTATGTTATAATCTTAATCACTATAAAAACAAACAAATATGTCAACAAAGAAAACCAAATTGACATATAGAGAAAATACATCTGCAATAATGAAAGACAAGAATGCAAAAAAAAAAAATGACCATAGCACAACAACACACTGGCGGGATGCATAATTAACGATCCACGCCAAAAGGATATTACCAAAAATGGACTATACATTAAAGGTTCATAATTTTCAAAGACAAATAAAAGACACACTATAACACGTTATGGAGATGATAAACAACATCAGTACCTAGAATCTATACTTCATGACCATGAAGTATTATTTGTGAAGTTGAATATTTTTCAACAAGGTCGTAGTATCTTCCGTTGAAATATTAAAAAAAAAGGACGAATCATTCTTTGGAATCACCCTGGTTTCTGCTAAGACAATGGTGACGTTTATTAAGTCTGGGTAGCAGCTGCAAGCTCTTGAATATCGAATGAGTTAATTTTAATACCCCTTTATTTTCAAGCCCCCCTTTTCATGTTACAAATGACCAGTACTTATAAAAAGATGAAAACATAACATTTTTCCATTTCACAAGATATCAATATGAACATGATGAAGTCAATATGTAATGATTTGAATCTTCATTTAAATATGTTTGTATTTCTTTCTTTTAAATCCAACTTATATACTAAAAATACCACCGGTGATTTTATAATCTTTTTTTAAATACATGATAACACTATATATATATAAGCTAATTGGTTACTGTAATTTGCATTTACCTTGAACAGTTGAATGATTACTTTGTACTATAATACAGATCTGACGTCAGTCGACTTTGAATAAAGAATACTGCAGAAACGTTTGATAATTAAGATAAAGACTTGAGCAAGGAAGTTTAAAATATAGTTATAGTATATCGCCCAATATGACGATACTAAGACTGAACAAGGTAAGGAATCAGTGTCAATAAGACAGTAACCAAACGACACAAATTATAAATAAATTAAATATAGGCTTACACACAGCCCTGAACCTCTAACCAAGTGCATATACAATATGTCAAGCTCTAACTCGTCAAGAGAATAAAATGGTGTGAAGAATTTTGACATGCAAACTATCAAATTTTGAAATAAATACCAAAATGCTCGAAAAATGAAAATAAAATATCTGACAAATACAACCACTTCAGGTGTTTACCAGACTGAAAAAGAGATATAAGATTATTTATATACTTTACAATTTGAAACTGTTTCGTAAAGTGTACCTTTCGTATACTTTTTAAAGTTGAAAAGACCCTACCAAGAAAATCGATATAAATGTGAATACACTCAAGAAGTCTTTCAACATGCTAGAGTTCAGTACATATTCTCGTGCTAGTGTATTAAATGAAAGCCTGGGGTATTAGCTTCCCAAAAAGTAACAATTTTTCAGCATTGTTTATTATTCTAGCAATTGAAAGATATACCCCTTACCCATGCAAAATCGACAAAATGCTATAACAAATGTATTCGTTGTTCCCAAATACATAAAATATAAAATCTCATTATGAAGATTTTCCTTTTTGTTGCCATATTGGGATGTTTCTACCTAGTTACTATATTACTCATTGTTTATTGTTATCATTTAATGAAACAATGTTTAAGCTTTCTAATGAACACCAACACACGGTAAATTTAAAAGAATAAAACCTTAAAATATTGAAAATATTACTCCTACCAAACTTATTGCGACTGAAAATCATGAATATCAAACACTAAACTCCTTTAATCATTTCACTAAAGAATTATCTGGTATAAATCAGCAGTGTGTACATCCAAAAGATGAATACAGCCTCTGGCTCGCCTAATGCCATTACTGTTGCTTCAGTTTTTAAAACGATGGAAACTTCGATATTTATAGATTTTCCAGAACGTATGAATTTTATCATTTTTATCCTTTTGAATTGAAAAAAAGTTAATTTGACACATTTTTTTGGACATTTTATGAAACCTAGATATCTATCACTTTCTTGTACAAAATATTACGGCAATGGAAAATATAACAAATTTGACAAATGACTGGTAAAAAAAAATCACATATGTAGACAATGTTTTGGTTCCAATTACTTGCATTCAAATCAAACACATGCATTATTATTACTCTTGATTGTTCCCATCAATTTCGAAAATCAGATAACTTCTGATTGTCAAAATTTTCAGATTTGTTTTTTAAATCTTCTCATTTAACCCGTCTGAACTCAAAATTATATTTCATCCCAAAACTTATACATTTCTTCAGTGAAATTTGGTATTTGGCGTTTTATAAGCCTAGTGTACCACGTTTTGTGTAAACAAATTCTTATCGAAACGGAAAACAATACCATACCAATTCAGATTTGAACATCAATGTATGAATGTGACTGAGAAAAGCTTGAAATCAAAAAAATAAGTACATGTATTAATTTTGTTCAAATTCATTTCATATATATATGTAATACTTATATTCAAGGCATCCCAGATTGTTTAAAGCTATTTATGAAACGGCAGAATATATATGCATGTGTAAAAAAAATAAAACGGACGATTCCAGATTTTCAAAATGTTCAGATTATCACAAGTTCTGACTTTTTCACTTCTCTAAGGTACATTTGTTAAAATTGAATTTGATGGTCTTAATGAATCAGCAATGTATTTGAGTTTTATATAACACAAATCTTAGATTATTCTGTAGAGTAAATCACAACAATATTTGAAATATTACATTTTGTCAAAAGTTTGTTGATTTATGCACACATGTATATGTTTACAAGTAGGGTATTATTGTAAAATTGAGAATTTATCTGCGATTTCATCAGTAGAATTGATCAAAGTTCTGCATGTATACATTTAAAAGCAAATAAATTATTGTCTTCATTGAGGCCCTCAAATTTAATGTAAATATAAGTATTAACTTTCCAAAAAGATGTAGTGAAAAAGGGAGTCAACCAGGTAAAATTCTTAAAATACATTATGGCATTTATAAAAACCAATACCTTTTAAGCTAACAAAAAAAAAACATGTTGATGTTAGGTTGATATATATGACATTTTATTTTTAAATTAGGCAAATCTGCAATAGCAAAGTTTCCCGATTATTTCTCCATTAACAAAAATAAAAAAAATTGTGAACGATCTAGGTATCTTAAATATATACACTTAGTATTAAATTTATTCTTCGCTCAGGCTGTTCCCGAAAGTTGACCGTTGATTTACTGGTTACTATTTTGGTGTCTTCTTGTTTCATATAGCTCTTCAAGTGCTTCAGGCTTTATATATTCTCGGCTTTCAAATATTCGGCTATGAGCGTTTCTGATGAAGGCAAATCCAGAAAATCACCTATGACGCATGAAATTTATACTCCGGAACATATAAGTGAACCAAAAGCATACAAGAAAACAAAGGCCAGAGGTTCCTGACTTGGGACAGGCGCAATACGGCGGGGGGTTTGAACATGTTTTGTGAGATCACAACCCTCTATCCAATGTAGAATAAACAAACACACAGCAATACGAACAGTAGAACTCAGTTTAAGAGAAGTCCAATTCCGATGTAAGAAAAGTTAACAGAAGAAACTAAGCAAAACGACAATGATCAACATTAGTGAACGAAGGACTACCATAAGTTACTGACATGCCAGCTCCAGACCTCAATAAAACTAATTGAAAGACTTTGTCTTCAACATATGAAAATCAAGCGCAATTTCTACCGTAAGGGGTTTATTATCATACCATCATAAAATATACGAAAAGAAATAATCCGTATCATGCCAACAACTAGGTTTGAATAAATGTGTTTATTCCATATTAATAAAACTTTAGTAGGTTATTCTATATGAATGGAATTTTGAATAAATAAGCATATTGACCTGCGGAAAAGTATATTTACCGCGCAAATTTACGTGCATAATTTTGGTGAAAAACGTTTTATGTACAATTGGTTTTTGTTAATAATTTACACTACATACATTTCTCTCGGAATTCGGAATAAAACAATAACTGTCTTTTTTTTTTTGGTAGATATGTGGTTTAATTGACTTTGAAAAACTGATATACACTTCGGTCGTTGGCCTCAGTGAATATCAGTTTTTTTTTCAAAAGTCAATAAAACCACATATTTACCTCATCAAAAGACAGTAATTGTATATTATTCCATATTGATAAAACTTCAGCAGGTTTTCTATATGAATAGGGTTTTGAATAAATAAGCATATTCACCTGCGGAAAAAGTGTATTCACTGCGCAAAACGTCGCGTGCTTTTACGTGCATAATTTTGATAAAAAACGTTTGATGCACAATTGGTTTTGGTAAATTATTTCCATCACTTACAATTCTCTAGGAATATGGATTAAAACAACTACTGTCTTTTGTTTCGGTAAATATGTGGTTTAATTGACTTTTAAAAAACTGATATTCGATTCGGCCGTTGGCCTCAGAGAATATCAGTTTTTCAAAAGTCAATAAAACCATATATTTACCTCACCAAAAGACAGTAATTGTATATTATTTCCTATGCACAAAACCTACCAGTGAATCAATACTAATTCCAAAAAATGCCATCTTTAACGACCTTACAACAACATCGTAACTATCTCCCTTCTGAATAAGTCTTATTAAATGTTTGGCTAGCTTTTGAGGTGAATGACGACATTGTTGTGCTTTGTATAGAATATTACCATAAAAGATATATTGCTGAATAAGATGTATGCACGTTGATTTATGTTTACGAATGATGTCATTGTACTGATGATAAAATTAAGTAAATGTTTTGACAAGTTTGTGACATCGATATATAACTCGGTGTTTGTTAATAATTGGCAAACTTTTTATTGCATTTTTGATTTTTTTTTCAGTTGTGAGAATAATCGTGAACAAAAGTGAAAATCTTGTAATATTAGAAAGCTCATAACCTGGGCTTCCATTTGATACCCTTCATAGGTATTGAACTATAGAATATTGGTAGATCTCATTAAGTGTATGGTATTGCTATCCCAATACCTTATGTCGGCTTTCGTTAAACTGGCGGCCATACTGGATATTCATTAGCATCATAACTAACACTGTGCAAAGATTCATGCTTTAATCATAAAGTGATCAATTGATCCAGTATCCGCTTGACTTAGCACAATGTCATCATAAACATGTTTACAGAAGTGTGAATACGAAAAACACACTATATATAACATATGCCGTTGTTTGTTAACCTTGCAAATCAGAATTAATAATAGAGACGGTTTAACCATATACTTTCATTACAATTATCTAATGTGAAATTTAACTTTTCAGGAATTTTTGGACATTTCCCAAAATCCTCCAACAGGCATTTCTGCACGTCCAATTAACGATGAGAGTAAGTTTACAAATAAGGTCGTGTTCACAATAAACGCTGCATACTGCAAGCCTATTTACAATTGAAGGGCGGGGTGATTCAACTTGGAGTTAACAAAAATACTCCTGTATGTTATTGAACATTGTTTTAGTATTTTTATTAAAGTAAAAAAACAATGAATTGTCTATCGATGTTCAGGACGAAATTGAATTCACAATGAATACGACCGGTAGGTCTTGTAAAAGAGGCATCCGATATGAAAATCTGGGCAATTTTGACTGCCATTTTCAAATGAGAGTATATTGGATAGGGACATTTATGGTTTCTCAGGCATTCGGAATCACTCTGGTTTTATCCATTTAGTGCCATAAAAAAGTTTGTCCGATAATCCCTACGTTTCTATTTATAATGTAATTAAATGATGATTTAAAAGACCATTTGTTAAATTTTAACTGTACTAAAAATAATAGAAGAATTATTTCCCGTCAAATATTTAACTCAAACACAAGGACACGGACCTTCTTCTGCTTTTTAAGTTCCCTTATTTCTATACTTTCAATCAATAATTTTTTTTTTTTATTTTGAGACAGAGAAGAGAACATCCTTAAATGATAAATATAGATTATGACTCAACGTGTCTCCTGTTCTAGTATAACCCGGGACTTGAAATGAATGGGCTTTAATTGCTTGTCATCAGGTCTAGAAAACATACGTAGAAAACATACGGTGACGAGTAAAATAAAATATTTTATCAAAATGATCAATATAGAGCTCGGTTGGACTTTACAGTTGATAAAAAGTTAAAACATGACATACATTTGAGGAAAAAGTGAAATCAAATGTATGTTAACGTGCAGGACTTTAGATGATAAAGAAATATAAAAAACATTATGTTAATAATAACCGTCCGTGTTTGATGGTTGTCTCTAATTTTGAGGTACCAGCAAAATTTTTTTGTGTGTACAATTTATGTAACAATGGATGCATAAATAAGCCCTCCTTTTCCATAGAATCTGTTTTGAATGATAATTTTCTACGGTTATTTAAAGTGCATTCTACTATGTTATTCAAATTAGCCAGCGGGAAAATATAGGACACAGAAAACATGTACAATTATGAGTCCGGACTTAAATGTGACGTACAGTATTGCAAGTTCTAACATTTAATTATGTGCATTTATCATTACACTAGGTCAATTGTCAATTACAATTTTATCAACTGAATTTGGTAGAAAAAAATCAAATTGTCTACAATCATTCGCATTGTGTTTTGCTTACAATTTTAAAATCAAAAATAAAAAAAAATATCGATTTATTGTACTATTGATTTATTTATTAAAATGATTACGTTAGAAAATTTAAAAAGCTGAATATCAATATCATTTTTTTTTTCTTCACTATTATTGTTACGATACTTTATTCAGATAGAATTTCATTTGAAAAAAAAATTAGAGGGCTTAATGTCGTATATTACTCTGAAACTCTGGAAATAACCTAATTTGTACACGGGATGATTATAACAAATATTTTTTTAGTTAGTTGGGCATACGTTTCTGATGAATTACCTGAATAATTGTGTAAAAAGTAAAGTAGCAAAAATATCAAACTCCGAGGAAAATTCTAAACGGAAAGTCCCTAGACAAATGGAAAAATCATAAGCGTGGACATATATCTACCTGTTTGTTACTTGTCATGCTCACCTGGTGTCATTACATCTAGAGACATAGAATAAGTCACTGTTACATCTATTCCTTCGAGTATTACAGTTGAAATATGTTAAAATATGTATGGACTGGGTTTCCTAGTACCTTTGATAACTAATTACCATTTTTATTTTTTGGCTACTATAAAAAATGTTTAAAACAAGTAATCTTCAGAAATTCGCCATTTAGATAATGAAAACAGCAAATGTTATTTAAAATGTTTCAAGTATTACATTATAGCAGCAAAGTATTACTTTTGCTTCAAGGTTGAAACATGTATATAGCATAACAATCAACGGTAATAAGAAACTATAAATAATATGAAAAGTATATTATGTGTATTAAAACAAACTATAAAACCAGGTATTTTGTTTTTTCAGTGTTAAATTGGCAGGGCATGATAACAGGACCAGTAAGTATACAGTATAGGTAAATTCAGAAAATAATGAAATTGTCTTAATAAAACTATATTCACAGCGTGTTAATAAGTTTCTTGTATATTCACTCATTTGTTACAAGATGTCTAAGGACACTGATAATGATCTTAATAATAATTCTTTTCTTTCAGGAGAGAAGTCCATACGCTGGAGGGGTATTTTCTGTAGGAATACAGTGTCCAAGTGATTATCCTTTAAAACCTCCGAGGGTATATATGTTTATTGTAATATTGTTATTTTATGGATTAAACATATTCTGATATAAGCATTTTTATCTATTTGAAAAATCGGGAATTGTACCACGTGACTAAATTCAAATGAGAAAAATAGAAATGGTTTCTCGTTATGAGTTATTACGAAGAATCTTGATTGTGACTTAGAAAACGTTTATTGGAAAAGATATAGAAACAACTTATTTATTAGTATTCATACCATTTAAAATATCCAACAAATAAGCATAAATAAAAGGAGAATTCGATAACCTACAAACAGAATATACGTAAATTTAAGTGTCTGATTATGAATATAAAAAGTTGACGCTGGACATTAATCAAACACTTATTCAAAAGCACGAAATATTAAATGGATTGTGCCTAGCTCCATTACAGAATTACAGTCCGAAATTTGTGATTGTGATAATGATGTAGTAGATTTTTGACGATTTCCTCGAATAAGATCTGAACTTAGGCCAAAAAAAAAAAACAAACATAAATTTCTTCCATTTTTTTCAGTCATATTCTAATTTTATTTATGAATGACTATTTTCTTCAGGTAAAAAATCTTCTCCCCTCCCCAACAGTTCAAAGAGTTGAATGAAAAACAAGTGGTTTTAAGAAAGCATAAAAAACAACGATTACTCAAAGTAAAATTGACAGTAAAATTTTTTTTTTGAAAAGTAGTAAAACTAGCATAAATTGATAAACATTTTTTTCACAAAAAACGGGCCATTCATGCATCATCTGCATTGTAATACTTCAAACCAGTTATTCATAGTTAATACACCTTAAATATATGAACTGATGATAAGGAACGTTGCTTTTTAGGCTAAGTTACTGTGATTTGATTGATCTTTTTATGACTTTCAGGTACATTTTACTACAAAAATATACCATCCAAATATTAATGAAAAAGGGGAAATCTGTGTAAAGCATCTGAGCATGCATTCATCATGGTGGGCAAAGTGTACTATATCAGAATGTAAGATTGTGTTTATTGCTAAAATTTGTTTATAGTTCTAAAGGAAATCTAAGAGACGCATAAACAATGTTAATCCTAAAGTCGCAAATACCAAGGGGACAAGCAGGATTTCGAAAACAAGATACATTTTAACTTTTGCTGTCGCCATGACGGTTATGAAATATATTTGTCACAGATAACCACTGCTTTGTTCCAAAAGTCGTAGCCGCAATCGCTCTCCCTTTTAATCGATGGTCGAATCACCGAATTTTAAGTTGCCTTATGCAAAACGATAAATGCTGCTAGAAAAGCTGGACTTACTGCAAACACTTCCGGAGCACTTTAGTTCGCCACTAGATTTGTTATAATGTTGTTGGGTTTTTTAAAAGTTTTTAGTGCTGTATTTTTTCTTCTTTTACTTTCAAGTGTATCTGTTGTTTCTACTAGTAACAAACAAGGCTATTATTTTTTCCTGAAACCCGTGTTTTCATTTTGAACGTACTCACGCGGTCGGGTTTAGTGTCAGGGAATGTCAATGTGTCGACTGTTTCGGAATTTGTTGACGTCTTAGAGTATGACAATTGAGACTAGATAAATTAACCTATCAGAAGATATAAGTTGCATAATGATGTGATTCATCAACGTATTGAACCCTCTCTCTCTCTCTCTCTCTCGCGAGTATGTTATGAGATAGCAATAAACAGGTAGGAAAAATTTGCAAAAAGGGGGAAACAGATGTCACATATTTCCCAAAAAGGCCAGTAGAGTTTCAATTGCTTGAAGTAATAGATTTTCTGAAACTGTTTACATATATCTATCAAGAAATCCAAAAAAATTATATGTTTTTCATCTCATTATTTGGTAAAATTGCGTCAAAAACTTCGTGTAGCAAATAAGTGTTTGTAAACATTACATTAATTTCTGGACCTATGACCGGTCAAGCTATGAAAATACAGAAATTAGCCCATAAAACATAAAAAATAATCTTGATGTTCTCATAAACCATCTTTGAAGGCTAATTTAGTACTCAGCTGTCTAAAAATGAATTTTATTGCACAATAACTTACTTGAAAAATCCATACGGGCCAAAATGCGAAACCAAACTCCTAACTGTGTATTGCTAACTAATGTTAACCGAAAGAATCTGTATAGAAGTACAAAAAAATTAAATCAGACGGTGACGTTTCGATACACCGTGATTTAATGTACATTGCGAATTCTTTCTCTTTTTAACTGATTGGCTTCTTGCTGTATTTTTTTCTCCATGACTCCATGGTTAACAAGGAATAAGGCAATATTGTTCGTTATTGATTCACAGTGTTCAGTTTACACGATTTCGTGTTCCTGCATAGAATATCAGTCATAAAAATTATCACTTTAATTTCTTTAATTTAAAGAAAATTGTTGGTAATATCTTAACCACAAATTACGGCCAAACAGTTAAATTTGATTTTTCAAAAGTAGTAAATACCGATAACCTTTCACTCAACAGCTCAGCAACATCATGATATCTTAACCAGTCGATATTTGGAAAAAAATCATTTTCTTAGTCGTAGGAATGGAGTTGTACAATTAACAAGGTCACATTACAAACTATGTTATAAATTGTGTCAGTTTCTCCCGCAACATTTCTGTAATATATGTAGTATTAAACATTTTTTTTCGGCCAGTTACGTCCAAAGCAGAATACATCCGAATTATACGAAGAAAAAGCACCTCTCTAGATCTGAAAAGGAGAGGAGAAAGATACCAAAGGAACATTCATACTCATTCAAACTTAAAAAAGGGAAAGGCAAACAGAAAAACTATAGTACACAAAACACAACATAGAAAACTAGACTGAACAAAACGAACCCCACCAAAAACTGGGGCTGATCTTTGGTGCTCCGGAAGAGTAAGCATGGTTTGCTGACTCTTTTACGGTAATGAAATATCTGTGTCGCAAATGGCCACTAAAATGTTCCAGTTCACGCTATCTTTTTCTTGATAGTCATATAACAGAATACAACTTATCACTGAATACCCCGGTATTATTAACTGAGTATTTACAAATCGATAAGTGTCGCTAGTAGAGGAGGACTTGATGTAACCCTTCAGTGCACCAGTTGTTCTTTTTTTTTAATGTGACTGCTTTGGTTTAAGTTTTAAGTGCTATATTTTGTACTCCTTAATTTTCAATTGTCTGTGTTGTGTCTACAGTAAACAATATTGTTTATCATTTGTCCTTAATCCCGTGTTTTTATGTTTATTTTTCCAATTTAGTCAAGTTTAGTGTAAGAGAATGTACTGTACCGATGATCCAGAAATGTGGGGATGTCATAGTGTTAAGTAAGACAAAGAAAGTAAAAAATCAGTTGGTATATGTTATATATTTGTTCCGGACCATATGAGTATTTGGACCATATGCGTATACTCATATGGTCGGACCATATGAGTATATACTCGTTTGGTTATTTACGGACCGGACCATATGAGTATTTGGACCATATAGGTATTTTTTTTTCTTCAAAATATTCATTAAAAACGTTTCAATAATACAATAAACTTTATCTAAAAAAAACAATGATGGTTACATAAAAATGAATAAATTTTATTAATCAAAGGCTACATAAACATTAAATATTGCAGCTCTACATGACCTTGAGTACGAGGATGTCTACGTCTACCAGTTATAATCTTGACATTTCACCGGGCCAAATTTTAATTGTTTCTCTTATATAAGATCATTGCAGAATTCACGGCCATTGTCATGTTGTAAAATGAACGGAAGGCCGATGAAAGAAAAAAAACCGTGTTCTTTCAGATTATGTGCGACTTCAATAATAGATTCACGTTCCTGGGCCAAAAAAAGTTAAATTAGGAAAAGTGGTTAAATAAATCCAACTGACCCCTATGCATAAAATGTTTGGATGAAATCGGTTTTAATGGTGCTATGTTATTTTGCGGTTTCTTACATGCACTTTTTACACACCCTGTCAGCTATTTCGTCAGTTAGTAAAATAGTTTACTTCGAGTGTAACAGTTTATTAAGATATTGCCGGGAGTTTGGAGATTATCTTCCCAAGTGGACATATTGCCATTCACTCGAAATAACAAATCGGTAATGACCATAGGTATAAAATGTGTTTATTACAGTTTTGACTAGTGAGTAAGAAACTGCATATTTTTATTTAGTTAATCTTTTTATTATTATATTATCAAAAAATGACATTTTTTAATGACGTGACAACTAGAAGGGTCATGCCTTATGAGGAGTTAAGTATCAAAAGTAAACGTGTTAATTACCACCGACCATTCGCGTACGGTCGGACCATATGAGTATATACCAATATGGTCATGACCATACGCGTATGGTCCAAATACTCATATGCAACATCGTTTGTAACGTTCATTTTGATTGGATAACGTCACCAATTTTCATGGCATCAATTCACAATTGATGCCATGAAAAATACGCGCAAGCGCAGACAACATATGACAGATTTTAAATGTATGATTTAACGTTTTTTTCTGTCAGTTTCCGTAGAATGGAGATAACAATATTGTATTTTAAGCTCCGACGGCAAGCGGAGTCAGTAAACGGGTATTTCCGACCATCAAATCACAAATTGATGCCGTCGGAGCTTAAAATACAATACAGTTATCTCCTAAATACAATGTTTTAACATTTTTTAATGACTTCATTCTCTATTTCAGTATTAGTGAATGTAGCAGAGTTGTTAGCTTCTCCAGATCCTGGGTGTCTATTTAACGAGGAAGCTGCAGATTTATATAAATTAGATAGAAGAAAATACAATAAAATAGCGGCAGAATGTACACGAAAAGCTGCCATGTGACATGGTCAACACATATGTTATATAAATCGTTTTCCTTTAATTTTGTATAACGAAACATGGACATACCTTACTGTTCGTTTTAGGACTTTTTACACTTTATGAAATTTCAGTATCACCAGCGGAAAATATGTTTTTTGTAAAATGTTTAATAAGTATATGTACTTGTTTATTGTGATGAAAAGTTTATCTTATTCTTTATTCTTGTTTGTCGACGGACTTAAGTAACTTTTATTTTCTCTCGCCTTCAATCAATAGTGTGGATATTGTTTAAGAGTTATCATAGTTGGAAGTAATTGTAAAATGTTACATTATAATGTTGAAATATATTGCTAACAACTTTTTAATGTTGCTTTTCTCTTTGAAAACTAGTAATGATATGATTTTCATACAAGAATAAATTAGTCAAGAATTGATACACATGGGTCTTTTACATGAAATAATAAGGTTGTTGAATATACGTCAATGAACCAACCACAAAAATACCTTAAAGGCATCCTGAGGGCACCGTCAACTAGTAGTCTTTAACAGTAGACAGGTGCCTTCACAATATGTCAAGGTCTAGATCGTCCTGAATCTATAAAAGTTTTGAATAAATTTAGTAGACACAAATAAATTACTGCCATTATCAAAGTACACTTTTAATGTTCCCAAATATATGCTTATAAATATAAAAATTGTATTCTTCCGATGTTAAAGTTGTTCCTTACCTTGTTTTCACTTCTTGTCGGTATAAAAATTGTTTCAATGCTGGTAAAAATTTTATTCTTTCGAATATTAGTAACAATATTTTGAAAAATAATTTTAAGACAAAGAAAACTCCCAAAACTGCAAGGTTTGTTTTTTATCTTGATTCTTTTCCTAGATATTGACACAGATGAACGACTCCGAACTAGAAACTATGATAATAGTGTTGGTTTAACATTGCAATTGTCAACTGCTCATTTCTAAACAGTAACATACCCTAAGGCGTTTACATATATACGTTGTGCTCGTGCATGTTCCACTATAAGGACTTCATTAGAAGGGTTGTGATGCTTACACAAAAAATCCTTTATAGGGTCACAATCACGAATTCTTTGACCGACACGTTGTGTCTGTGTATCAACTGAATATAGATATGTTCTCGCGGACTAAGAGCTCTAGATGTCAATATAGTTGCTTGATCTGCATTTCTACTTATTGCGTCCTATTTTCGATTATCAAATTTTGACTGAGTGTGGATTTGCATGTCGGTTGATTTATGCTTCGCGGGAGACGCGAATCCTATTGACGCAACTTGTCTCACTCCTTTTGAGTGTCTATACAGTTTCCTCAGTTTTTGTTGCTACTTTTATTTGTATCTACTTAATCGATTAACAAGATTTGAACGTCGGAACACTATTGTTCCCTAAATTTATATATTGTATATATATATATTGAGAGAGACCTAAATAGCAAACAGTGTTTTTTTTTTAACCATTGAGTGGATGGCCCTACTGTTCGTCCAGGAGGGTATCGTAAATCAAGTAATCAAAACTTTTTGGTAAATTTGGTTTCAAATACTCTTGAATTTCTTTTTTTATTTGGCTTTGCAACTGTTTTGAATGAAGCGCCACTGGTGGAACAAATATATACAAAACGTACGTCTGATGTACTGCTGATTAATCATAAGCCAGAGGCCATATCAATGCAAAATATCCTAAGATTTACCCTACGATATTCTTAAAACTTGATTATGGTATGGTCTTAGGACATGATTGATACATGTCGTAGAATGTAAAACAGAACCATCTTATGATGGTCCTTCCCTTAGCCAATATTTTGCTTATCAACGAACATATATAAATAGAAGTATCTATAATATCTAAAGTATCCATGTGAAAATAGTATCGTTTCATTTTATTTAATTCTTTTCTTACTCTAAACTTTGATAAACTGTTACCGGAACAATATGATAATTGTTTTTATTATATACTTGCTTAGTTGTGAAAACAGGTAACTTTAAAACAATCGGGTTGTATCAGCCATCCGTGATGATATCGATATCAGTCATTGTAACAAAGGCTTTATTAAACACCTAATCTGTTGTCGTCAGGTATTTTATATTTGTCACGGTTAAAAATGCTCCATCAAATCCCTAATTTGTATTACGTTTGTCTAGTAAAAAAAACATCTAAATTAGTTGCGCTTGAGGTATTTGTATATAATAAAGTGAATATAATATGGCTTTTTGACAGGACCTTATAAACAGGAAACACGTTTCTAGAAATTCTTTAATTATTCAGTGGTTTGTTTACTGTCTCGTTGACGGTTAAGGAATATCTGTGTGGCAGATGGCCACTAATTAAAATGTTCCAATTGTCGATGTCATAATCGCGCTTTCTTTTCCTCGATGGTCATATTACCTTATACAACTTATCACCTTATTTTAACTTACTAGTAGCAAACCGATAAGTGCCGCTAGTAGAGGAGAACTTACTGTAATCCTTCTGGAGCGCCTTAGTTCAACAGTAAGTTTTTTTTATGATTGCTTTGGCTTAAGTTTTTAGTGCTATATATATATATTTTGTCCTCTGTAATTTTCAATTGTCTGTGTAATTTCTACCGGTTACAATAGTGTCTATCATTTGTCCTAATTCCCGTGTTTTCATTTCAAACTTTCCAATTCGGTCAAGTTAAGTTTAAGAGACTGTACTGCGTCGGTGATTTAGAATTATGGGGATTTCATAGCGTTAAGTAAGACAAGGAAAAGTCATAAATCAGCTATTATTTGTTGTATATTCATCTGATATGTCTGGTCAACGTATTGAAAGAGTTTCACGGTGGATAATATCACTAGTGAACAAGGGACTGCTGACGATTCCATCTTGATTTGTCAGGTTTTTTTTCGACTTATGATTTGTATGGTACCCTTGGTGTTCGTTCACTCTCTTAATGAGTCATAGGCAGTGAGGCAGCTACCGAATGTTATACAAGAAATAGACATCCGGTGTTGTTAACATACGATCTTTACCAATATAAAGGTTTTAATATCTAAAGTCGAGCTCAACTAGATTGCCCCGAGTCTTAAAAATTTGTGCATAGCTAGTATGACAATTAAGAAATATTAAAATATTGAATAGTGCTTACAGTACATGTTAAATGCTTGTCTTAACATCAACGTAACTGTATTAGCTCTACGCTAGCTCGTGTTGTTCACGTGGAATATATCTGAAGTACAATGTTTTTAAAATTTAATATGATTTCATTTCCTATTTAAGTATTGCTTAGTATTGTAATTAACCTCTCTAACTCCTGATGTTACATGCAACTCAGAAGCTGCACATTTATATGAATCAGATAGGAAAACTTTCAATGAAACAGCGGCGGAATGGACACGAAATATGCTTTGTAAAATGGTCAACACATGTGTTATATAAATCGTTTTCTTTTAATTTTGTATTAAGAAACTTGGGACACATCTTACTTTGCGTTTTATGACATTTGATGTTACTAAATTTCTGTTTCACGTGGCAGAATATACATGTTTTTATTAATTTTTGATTATTATATTTGCTGTGTTGATTGTGATGAAATAACTATTTTAAAAATGTTTATAAAATTTATATTTCAACAAATGTTTGTCTTATTCTTTATTCTTTATTCTTGTCTGTCGACGGACTTGAATAACGGCATTAATGTTTAAGAGTTATCATAGTTGAAATGAATTGATAAGTAGTTTTAAATTATTACAACATGATGGTGAACTTACACCATTTTTTGGTATCATTTTGAAAACTGATTGTGTGGATTCGCATATGGAATGATGCATACATGTCAGAAGATGCTTATCCCGTCGACGAACCCAGTCTCGCTTATTTTGCAGTTTTTGTTAGTTTCTTTGATTTGTATCTGCTTAATTGATTTACCAGATTTGAACCACGGTAGACTACTGTTGTCTTAATTTTTATACCGTATTTATATACATAGAGAAATTGGGACCGGGTGTCGTCTATTTTACAACAACTTGTACGATGCCCAAAATGGTAAATGTTTTGTCAATGAGGTTAGCACCAACTAGTAAGTAGTAAAACCTTTAAAAAAATAGCTTTCAATACAAACGATTCTAATGCATTTTTTATGTAACAATCTTTTTCATTGGCTAAAAGTTACCGTCAAATCCACAGTTGACCAGTCGTAACTAAGGAGGGACCCGCCATTTAGATTCATTGGATCAACAAATGTAAATTACTACAATATTATCGAAAATAAAACAACATCTACCTAATAATCGCCATTTTGATGAGATTTTATTCAAATTTGAATCGTACAATTAACGAAATTACCTTCAGTTTGTAAGTTTTCATTTGTGTGACGTCATGTTTAGCAATGACGTCTATGCGCCAAAATTATTCATGAAGTTTCTCGAAATTTTATTTTATTTCAAATTTATACATTTTTCCAAACTCTAACGTATTATTTCTTTTTGTAATGCATTAGAATCGGAATAACAGTACTGTAGTTGAAGAGTTGCCACCGTCAGTTTTGATTTGACGGTCGCAAATGCAGTTTTTACTGGCGACGCGTAGCGGAGACAGTAAAACGGAAATTTGCGACCGTCAAATCAAAATTGACGGTGGCAACTCTTCAACTACAGTCCTGTTATTCATTAAGTATAATGTACTAATCATTAGAAAGATACCATGTTAATGAATAGGGTTTCTTATCGTCGAGTTGCAAGTTGCGAGTTAAGAAAGTCGAGTTGCGAGTTAAGAAAGTCGAGTTGCGAGTTAAGAAAGTCGAGTTGCGAGTTAAGAAAGTCGAGTTGCGAGTTACGAAGGTCGAGTTGCGAGTTACGACGGTCGAGTTGCGAGTTACGACGGTCGAGTTGCGAGTTACGACGGTCGAGTTGCGAGTTACGAAGGTCGAGTTGCGAGTTACAAAAATATTATGTTTTTCTAATTTCTTAAGAATTATATATATAAACGGTCGTATATATAAACGGTTGTGTCGTTTGATTTTTGAAACAGAATTTTCAGGTTTGCTTCGCATTTAATAAACAAAGCATACATGTACCCGAATTTGGGTCCCGGTATTTTGATTCCAGGGTTTGAAAGAGTTATGTGATACTTATTTAAACGAATCTATATGTTGCAAAGTCACGCACGCTTAAATTTCTTTCATGAGAGTGACATTGTTCATTTTCTAAAATAAAACAGGATATAATGTAGATATAAGACAAAATGTATACCGGACTGAACAAATCAAGCATAAGAAAATAAATCATGTAGACAAATGAAATATACTTGCAAATTATCGACATATCACAGAATATGGCACTGTATTAGGCCTAAAGAAAATACTTATCAAAGGTACCAGGC